TCTCCCTCCATCCCTCCATCCTCGCATCTCGCCATTCCTCCCCCCCGTCCAACCCTCCATCCTCCTATCTCGCCATCCCTTCCCCCCCTCCCTCTAGTTCTTCTTCAACATTGGTTAGCAGCCTTCCTCTATCCCTCGATTCTCCCATCTCGCCATCCCTCCCCGCCTCGCTCCATCCATCTTCTTCTTCTTATACTTTTTCTTCTTCTTCTTCTTGGACGTTGTTTAGCAATCTCCCTTCATCCATCCATCCTCCCATCTCGTCGTCCCTCCCTCCCTCCATCCATTCATCAATCCATCATCTTCTTCTTCTTCTTCTTCTTCTTCTTCTTCTTCTTCTTCTTCTTCTTGAACATTGTTAAGCTGTAGGGCGAGAGTTGAAGCTGCAGGGAGGAGGTGGTTGCAGCACGATGGCTGGTGGGAGCAGTGCGAAGCGTGCGATTGGTGGACAAGGAAGTCGGAGCCAATTGGAAAGAGGGGAGGGCAACGGAAAGGACATCGCCAGCTCAAGTACACCTTCATCAGGGGTGACTTCTAAAGAACCGACACCGGTTACTGCCCCCTCGCTGTTCGTCCCACAGCCTGAATGTAGGCAAAAGAAGCTGCAGGGCGAGAAGGAGATATGGAAGCACGTGGAACAACCGCAGGAGGTTGTGCCTAAGGGTCGGGGAGAGTATTGGCTGAGGTGTCCGATATGCTCGACCATTTGGAGGGGCACGAGCACACGAGCAGTTGAGCATTTCATGAAGATGCTCAAGTCGTGCCCTTTCGGGACAGGGGAGATTGTGCATAAGCTGGTGGCCCACAGGGAGAAGGTGCTGCCAAGCGACAAGAAGACTCACTACCTATTGCAGAACTACCGGCACCTGCACAACATCTCGGAAGGGGGGGCTGCAGCAAACGACGATGATGCGGATGCGGTTTTTTGTCATGATTACGAGGAGCAACAATCGTCCGTTGCTGCAGGGAGGGAGCCGGTCGAGGAGATGGCGCAGTGGGGAAAGAAAAGTGCAGCGGGGGAGGTGCTGCGAGAAGAGTGTCAATCCGCCACAAGGGCGGCTCCGGTGCAGCAAACGACCATCACGAGATTGGTGGACAACGCAGCTCAAAAGAAGTTCGACATCGCATGGGCGGAGGCAATGTTCCGGGCGGGAATCGCATTCAATTTTTTGAACTTCGACACCACTCTCAAGCTGCACGAGGTGTATTTGGAGGTGGCTAGCGCACGACTGAAGGTGAAATTGCCTTTTGCGAAACACATCCAGATGGTGATGCTCGACTTTATCTTTTTGGGCATTCAAAATCAAATGCAGCCTCTAATTGCATGTCACGGGTTGCACTTCTATCACGGATGGGTCGACCAATAGGAGGGAAAGGCATGTCATGAATTTCTTGGCGGCGGGGGAGCAGAGAGCGGTTCTTGTGACAACGGTGTCGATGGATGGAAAGAAGAAGATCAGACTAGCGCTGGCCAGACTTTGGAAGAAGATAATGAGGGAGGTCGGTTTGCAGCGCATCAATGCAATTTGCACCGACAATGCGGAGGTGAACAAGAAAGCCGCGCAGATTGGAGAGGTGCACGGACTTGGCGGTTTCACGGATACTTTGGGTTCCGTGTGCTGCGCATTGCTGCAGCTTGCTGCTACGGAACATCAGCAAGTTGGATTGGATCAAGGGCACGGTGAAGCGGAGCCACACAATTGTGAAGTTTATACGGAACCACCGCTGTACACATAGCCTAATGATGTCGTTGAACGACTCATTATCGCTGTTGCGACCGATCGAGGTCCGTTTTGGGTCGGTCTACATGATGGTGGAGCGGTTGTACGATCGGAGGGCGGTTTTGAAGCAGATGGTTGAAGGGAGCCTAGTCGGGAGATGGAAGGCGATGTGGTGGTCGATGACCAAGCTGCAGTCCAAAGCGGATTTTGTTTTCTTCTCATTGCGGAAGGAGGGTTGGTGGCCGGAGTTGAAGAATGTGGTGGAGGTGATGGAGCCATTGTATGTATTGCTTCAGAGGATGGACAAGGGCGGGACTGCCCCGTCAAACCTTGTGGAGTATGACTGGCTAATGGAGAGGACGCTAGCGGAGGTCGTGCTGACGGAGGAGCAACGACGTACAGTGCTCGAGAAGGCGACGTGCTGCATGAAGATGATGCGGCAACCGGTACACGCCTTGGCTTTTCTTCTCGACCCACGGAGGAGAGAGCCGAAGTGGTTGTTGGACCGGGCCAGCGCACTTGTGCAGAATGCATTGCCTTATTTGCAGCAGTAGATCGACGGTCATTGGAAATCAAACGCCCACGTGCAGATTCTCAGCGACATGCGAAAGTTCCATACGAAACCCACCGAGCACAACCCTCGGCGGAAGGACAAGAAAATGTGGGATGGTGATGCGGTCGCAGATTCTAACACCATCTCGCCATCGGAGTGGTGGGCAACTCATGGCGGCGATGTGCCAGAGTTGCAGGCCATTTCCATGAAAGTAATGGGCATGTGGAGCACGACGACTCCGACACAGCGGAATCGGTCTTCGATGGATTTGGTCCACTCAAAGCGGCGAAATCGGTTGAACCCCTCAACCTTGGAGAAGTTGGTGTATATTCACTGGAATATGCATCTGCCGAAGTCCGGGAATAACTTGAAGGACCACGGCTACATCGACCTGTGGGCGCAGTTCTTCGAGTCCCTTCCAGCGCCTGAGGTGGACGATGGTTCTATTTTGAAGGACCTTGTGGAGGAGAAGGACAAGACAGAGGAGGAGCTGGTGCGGAAACGGGCCTTCCTCAAGACACCAAAGGGCCGGGTTCCAAAGAGCCTCGAAGATGAGCAGGAGGAGGAGGAGGAGTGCACCGACGACAACGACCTTGACGACGAGGTGTGGAAGGGAAAGACTCAATGGTTAAAAGCATCTAATGAAGGGGAAGTTTATGAGTCATCGGACAATGACTTTGAGTTGGGAATCCCCCCGTCAATCCCGTGCACCATATATGTTAGGAGGAGGGAAGCGGCACAGCGCCGTCAAGAACGACCACCCACAACACCATCTCAATGCACGGCGAACACCACAACGCATTACAACATCCAATAGGATGTCGAGCTACCACAGACCAACACCGACATGGAGATAGTGCTTCGCCCCGGTCCAATCAATACAAATGAGGAGGAGGCTGATCGTGCAAAGGCATGAAGTGATGCGAATGGGTGCAAAGGAAACTGAGGGAGGAGGAGGAGCGTCATGCAACGATACCAACCCGCAGAGAATTGGAAAAACTGAAGGAGAAGGTTGGAGAGCGAGAATCGGAGCCAATGGGGGTTATGGACCGGCTAGAGGAGGAAAAAGAAGAGGCGATGCGCCAACGAGAGGAGGAGGTAGAACACGAGATTGGCCAGCCAGGGAGGAAGAAGAAAAGATGGAGGAGCAAGAGGAGGAAGAAGAAGAGGTTGGCGTGGAGCAGCGAGAAGAGGAGATGGAACAGGAGTAAGGGGAGGGCACGGGACAACAAGAAGAGGAGCTAGAGGAGAGCGAGAAGGAGCAGCAGCAGGAAAAGACGGAGAACATCGAGGAGGAGGAGCAGCAGCATGTACCGACGACCGTGTACAAATGTCAGAAGCAAACTGTGGAGGCTGCTGGCTCACCAGATAATTCCCCTGACTTCCTAACCAACAAAGCGGAAGCCCAACATGACAATGGGTCAGCAGGGTTGGGAGGAAGAGGAAGGCGCCTCGTGAGGACGAACAGCCGAAGGCAAAACTTCCATGTGCCAGGCCTCAGAAGAACGCGACCGTCGGTCCGACTGCAAAGTCGAAAAAAAAAAAACCAGCGGTGCAAGCCTCACAAACAAATTGTTGAGGATGACCCCGAATCCGACAACTGCAGCGAGCAGTTTGCCGAAGACGAGGGTGACACCGCTGACTGAGATGGTGTGTTCGTGTCTATGAGTGTGTGTGTGTGTGTGTGTGTTTGACTGTGTGCATGTGTGTGTGTGTGTGTGTGTGTGTGTGTGTGT